CGTCTTTTATATCAATAAGATAAAGCTAATAGGATAACATTTATTTATTTAAAGATAATTATAAACTATAAAATGAATGTAACATGAATATTTAATTATGATCTATACGGGAGAATAGATAAACATCTCAAGTATTTCATTATCCATGACAACAATAGAGGAGATACAATTAAACAAAACTCTATGGTTTAAGAAGGATTCAATTTCAATCTATTCACAAAATATTATGATTATTAAATGAAAAAAACTCCTTCAGAAATCTTCCAAGAACCAAACTTAAATTTAGATTATTTTGTTCCATGATAAAGTTCTACTTTATCAAGACGTTTATGTTTTTATTCAATATAGGCAGTGATAATATTAACTTCACTTGATGTTGTTTTACTTGTATTCTCCCATTGGACTGCAATTGATCAGCCTTAGACTTAAGGCTAATTCGAGGCAATCCGCACAGAATGCACAAATGCCAACACGAAACTGATAATTTGCAGTTCTCAATAACAATGAGAAGATACAAGTAAAACAACATGAAGTGACTTTAATTTTCACCTCATTGCACAAGTAGGTGACTATCAGGACTCAGTAGCTAAGTGGATAACGCAATGAATTTTGAAGTGAACGATACTGTGTTTGAATCCCAGAGTAAACATCAAATCTAAGATGCAGGTACATCCAGATGAAGAGTCTCAAATAGGACGAAACGAGCGTCAGACTGGATTCCACTGCTAGCCACTATCCATCTTTGCTTAAGAATGATGTTGGTTTGCATATAAGATATTTAATATTATGTTATCTTATTCAATTCAATGAATATTCACTTAGTGTCAATGTGATCTTTTTCGTTTGAGTTCCCTATCCATGACACTGATACTCGTTTTAATATAGATAACTTCATGCCAAATGTTCACTGAAACTATGAACAATAACAGTTTGAAATGAAAATAACTCAAACAAGCATATACTATAGAGCGTTGAGAAACTGTTAGATAATTCAAACTTTTACTAGTAATAATATAAACATAATACGTTTGAACACATTTATGGCTAATTAAGTTCATGGACTCAGTGAGTTATGTGATAATATTTGAAGCGATACATAATTATCTCCAGATCTAAAGTGAACGACATTTAGGTACAGTTGTATACAAGTGACGAATTTTAAGTAAGCTAGACCACCATGGAAAACCTGGAAGTACTGGACAGCCGTTTAGTCCTAGTACAAGACTTTTCAGCAGTTTGTATCCATGACCCCGTATGCGGAATTCGAATCTAGGACCTATCGGTCTCGCGCCTAAACTCAACGATCGTTCAGTGGTTCTGGGTCTATCTTTAGTTGACTCATGAATTCAACTATCGGAATAACTAATTTCCCACCATATAATTTCTGTTTTCAAATGACATGTTCATTATAGAATTGGAATTATCAGGTTGTTTTAAATTATTCATGTTAAATTTTAACAAGTATGCAAGAAGTATCATTTATCTAGTCTTACTATGTCATACATTATAATCATAATTATAAAAATTTCTAGCTAATTAGTGAATATTGTCATAGTGAAGTACTTTCAGGGTTTCTCACTAGAACTCCGTGAAATACCACTTGAAGCCAGTCACTAGTGAGCATATGTTGATTCATATCAGACGGGTTTTTGTGGATATTATAGTAATTTCATTAGTTGATATCATGAGAAGACTGATAAAACAATAGAAGGTTTTCATGAATTTTCCCAACCAAAAAAGCATTAATGATAAAATTATTGTTTAACTGAAAGGATTATGATGACTCAGTGATTAAATCAATTTTGTTTACAACCAATAGGCCATGTGTTTAAAACTTCCCATCATTTTATTCGATTTGAGTATACAGTTAGTGTTCTTGATTAAGTGATGAATACTATAATATTTGTCGACTACATCTAATCACTTAGATTCGTGATCACACTGTAACTTGATTGATAGAATTAAATTAGTACTACGGATAATACAAATACTTCAGTCAGAATGGCCCAGTGATAACGTCTTAGAATATAAAACTGAGTAATTAGGGTTTGAATCCATAAGGGAGCAGAAGTTCTTTGAATACTGTAGGTACATCATATTATCACCATACGTAGGTGGAAGATTCACAATTGATTACTTTCAAATAACTAATATCAAATACCCAGTATTACCAAACTTATTATACCTAGTATATAAACACTTCTACCTGGTAAATGAGTTGAATCATAAAAAGTAATATCGGGTTTTCACTTGTTTCTTTAAGAGTTCTTAAACAATATCACTTATAAAAGCAGTTCAAGTTATTTGATATTGCTTCTATTACATCTCAGTTGAATTCTTATGAACGAGAACACTAGTGAGGACAATCAAATGTATTTTAATACAACATCACTGAATAACTTGGTAAAATCTGAGAACCATACAGTGAATAATTCATTTGCAAAATATACATCAGTTGTTTCAGATTATATTGTTCCTTAGTTTTCGTCCGTCCTGGAAGCACCGGAAGACCCTTTCATTCTAACATCGGAATCCTCAGCAGCGTATATCTACAATCCCGAACGTGGGACTGGAACCCAGAACCTTCCGTATCGGGTGCGGACGCCTAACATCTAGACCACTGAGCCGGCACCCAGCGGTGTTAATTAACTTGAAACTAGACAATAATTCGGAAGTATATACACAATACTTGAAATCGTAACATATTTCTTTGTGTGATGAATCTAATATAATAATATAAGAAAGGTAATCCCATAAATATTTACAATACTAGCAATACACATGAACTACTGAGTAACTGAATGACATAATCGGGAGAAAATTAAGTCAACTAACTAAGAACTGTAAAGTTCATCCATTTCCAGAGATAAGGCAGTTATCATCAACACAATACTATGATTCTCACATGACATACAAGACTGATTAAAGTTAGTAATGTAAAGTATTGGTTTTTGTCTCAGTAGTCTATGAGTGGTTAATTTGGTAGCAAAAGTATGTAACTCTAAGTTCCCTCTGACATGTAACCAAGCATATATATGTGTCTTAGGCTAAAATTTTTGAAATATAACAAAAGAGTTATATAATTCGATCGTGAATAATTTTTTTCGGGAGGAGGGGCGTAGAACTAATTTCTCAATATAAAACTAACTTTATTATTCTAACATCAAAAACTGTGCCATTCAGATGAAGAGATGAAAAACGAGACTTTTCAAAAATAATAAATTAAATAAATGCTTCATTCTCTTTTAGTAATAATAAGAAAAGATTATACAATATAATTTCCATAATATTGAAAGGTAGACAATAGAATACTTTGACAATCCGACCGACTTATACAATATATATATATATATATATATATATATATATATATATATATATAGCATTTATATGCCAACACGAGACCGATCAATTGCAGTCGTAAATAAAAATTGGAAGATACAAGTAAAACAACATCAAGTGAATTTAAACTTCATCTCATTGCACAAGCAGGTGTCTATCGGGACCCAGTAGCTAAGTGGATATTGCGTTGGCGTTTGAAGTAAACGGTACTTGATTGTCGTCTCAGATTGAACATCAAATCTGAGATGCAGGTACATCCAGTCCTAAATAACAATGGGAAGATACAAGTAAAACACCACCAAGTGAATTCAATATTAAAATTACGCATAAAACTACGTATGTCCTTAGAATATTCAATTAGTACACTAAATTACCAATTCAGTTGATTAAAAACATCAACGCCGATCAATTAAACGATTAAGTTCATATTAGAACCTTGTGAAACTTTCAGTTAATTAATATTGAGAGTTTACAGTTTGAACCAAGAATTTAATGAAAAATCCTTTATCTTTCTCTTCATATAATGTATATATATAAACTTATACAAATGGCTCTGATAAACTATGTAACAGTTATGGCAAAATCTTGTAAACATAATAAGTAAGTAGTATTAAATCAAAATCCAGTCATTTTTATAGTTCAGCACCATAGAGCATAGTAACTGAACATCTTTTTGACTGGGATAAAATTCTTTACAGGCAGAAGTTATATTTTTTGATTGATTGATTTTTAAAAATTTACTATAAACCTATTAATAAGTACTCAGGATAAAAATCTAACGAAATAAAAGTGACAAGTATTGATATTATTTCACCTGGAGCCCCTTTGGGTCTACTTCTGATCGCAAGCCCGGACAAAAGAGGATGATCGGGTATGGAGTTAACTACCCCATTCTGTAGAAAACTAACTCTCTAAAAAAACGTCAGCCAGAAAAAGTAAGTCTTACACTTAACGATGTCCCGTTGACATAACAAAATAAATTATATTATCTTCGTGAATATAAAATAACTTAAACTTTGTTAATGAACAAGTAAACGACTGAAACAATGTATGGAACTTCAGTATAAATATTAGATATCTTATTCGGTTAATGATATTAGCTGAAAAACTATTGAAAGCAAATTCCAATGGTTGTTTTGTTCTAGTTGTATGAATACATGGTAAATCACTTCAAACGAAATTGAACTGTTAATTATCAGGTCTAGAGACTAGCTAGATAATATCGCATCACTTGGCCAAGACATAAAGGTTCATCCCTTTAAATTTATTTAGTTTGATTGGTAGATGAAAGAACATTAAAAAATTAGAAATTATTTGGCATATTTTTCCCTTTCGTTTAAGTATCCACAACTTAATTAAAAAATAACCAAGAATCTTTAAACGTCTTAGCGAGATCGTTACTTTTAGATTACTGAAACAACTTGTCACTCAGTTTGGGTAATGTGCACTAATTATCCTATGTCACTGATATAGAACTATTTTACAATTTCTTATCAGAAATCTAGAAATCTGTGCCAACCTTAGTCACTAGTTTGTAAAGTTTTATAGCTCAGCTGAGGGGTTTATTGAGAATAAGTTTAAACATAGAGGATTTCGTTCCAGCTTGTAATAAAATGCAATCCATTGCTTTTTGTTGATTTTTTAAATTTATTTTTAAGATGGCGAAAGTGCCGATGATCTCAATTTTGAGAAGAAAGCTTATCATTTCTTTCGACTGAAAAAATCAGAACGATGTCTACGTATTCCTGATAGTATTAAACAAATGATAATTAGAGTAAGTTTTATACTTCTTCAATATTTGTTTCTTATTCATGATGGTTATTCTGTCCATTTTAAGAAAACAATTGTCAAGGCAACAAGATTCATTTCAATTTTTTAAAATATTTTTCTGTAAAAGAATACACTCTAAATAAATAGTACTATAGACTTTGATTCGATGAATGTTGGAAATCCCAAGGGAGTTTTAATAAAAATCCTGAGTGTTGTTTTTGTCTTGATGTATTAGTAACATGATCAAACCTCTTTATGTTTAACCCAATCAGTTCCTTGTGAATTATTTAAACTTCTGTTAATTTGTGCAAAGAACTTACATTTTGTAAATATTAGTTTTACAAAATATTTGGTTTTCCGACACACATTGGAATTAACTTACTTACTTACTTACACCTGTTATTCTTCATGGAAGAGCATAGGTCGCACACCAGCATTTTTCATCCAACTATGTCCTAGACAATCCTTTCCAGTTCTTTCCAGTTTCTATACACCCTTTTCATATCTACTTCCAGTTACCGACGTAGTGTGTTCTTCGGCCTTCCTCATTTTCGTTTCCCACCAGGATTCCAAGTTAGCGTTTGCCTCGTGTTCTCTCGCACAGTAGGTTGTTGCTAATTGTATCCGGTCAACGAACATTGGGTATCTTGCATTGACAACTGTTTATAAATACTTGTACCTTTTTGATGTTGGTTGTAATAGTTCTCCAAGTTTCAGCTCCATACAACTCAACTGTCTTGACATTCGTATTGAAGATTCTGACTTTGATATTGGTTGACAGTTGTTTCAAGTTCCATATGTTCTTCAATTGTAGGAATGCTATCCTTGCTTTGCCAATCGCTTGCATCAGATCCTCCATGTTCATCGATGATGCTGTCCAGAAACGTGAAATTTTCCATTACTTTTGGAGTTTCACTATAAATTGTGATAGGGTTGGACACTGGAATAAAACAAATGTATTATTCCTATCATGAACAACTGACTCAATAACGAATAGATTTTTTATTTCAATAAAGCTTATCACTGTGGATTGATTGTATTCAGATATATATATGAAATCTGAACTACGGAATTTCATTTAAATGATTTTTTATGAATTGTAGTTACTGTAAAGCTTCAAAGCCTTGACTTCAATCCACTGATGAATCATAAGGTATTCATTAATGAGAGATTCACTATTATGATGAGATAACTATCTAATGTTCATTCTTTTTCTCAATAATTTGCTAACAGAAATCCATCATTCAGTGAACACTTTGTAGGTACGGTTACATGTCATGCTGATTAAGTTGGCAAATGTATTTGGGATTACAATACATTAAACAACGTGGAAATAAAGGGATCACAATTTAATTTCAGTGTTAAATCATGAAATATTAAAAACAACGATCTATGTTTTTTTTCAATAGTTGAGACCATGAGTCGATTGAAACTAGACCACTATGGAAAACCTGGAAGCACTGAACGACCGTTTCATTCTTGGTGGTCTAGCTTCAATAAATTTATGATCTCAACTATTGAAATTACTACAATTCCCACAAAACCCCTTCTGATCTATGTTTTATCAAAAAAAGCCCCCCCGCACATGTTCTGCTTGTTACTAATATCGTTATTTGATTTTTCTATACAATGAAATGGATAAGTGATATACCACTTATTTACAAACTAATGAGTTTATACAATGTGAATCTAATTCATTTGAATTTGTTATAGCAACTAAATCGAATCGAATCAGTGAACTATTTAAAACATCATAGTGAGTTCAATAATTTAGAGAAAACAAATTATTGCCTACTAGAGTACAACATTAAATTTAATATATTCCAATACTTTTCAAATGTCATTAATCAGTTACTGTCTTGATAGAATTGATCATGTTGATAGTAGGACAGTTCGTCAGCCAATAGGAATGTTTTATAGTTACATTTGGTCATGACAATGAAAAGTATAGAATATTAATTCAGAGCAGCATTACTATGGCAAACATTCAATATACTTACGTAATCATCTTTGAAATCATAGATGTATGCTACTGAACCGTTGTGGAATAAGACGAATTCTTGACTTATATTATTCTTACACACTGAACAAATCTTTATGACCCAGCAAATTAAATATGTATAAATAAATGAATATGTATGTAATTTATTAATTGAATAATAAGTCAAATGACGCTAGACCACCATGAAAAACCTGGAAGCACTGGACGGCTGTTTCGTTCTATTGTAGGACATCTCAACAGTGTGCATCCACGATCCCGCCTCGCGAAATTTGAACCTAGGACCTATCAATTTCACGCACGAACGCTTAACCACTAGACCACTGAACCGGCGGTGTCTGACGTCAACTAATCCATTATCATCTGTGAGTTACTATCTCACAACAGACCCAGTTGAGCTCCACTGTTCATTTCTTCTCACTAGAACTCCATGAAATAACTCTTGGAGACAATCATTAGTGAACATATAATGAATATAATCAAAGAGGGTTTTTTGTGAAGATTGTAGTAATTTAATAATTGAGTTCATGAGTCCAATATGTATGTATATACTAATAACAATTAAACATAATAAATCCTTAATTTCCTATTTACTTTCTTGTATATTTAAAAGAGTATTATGTTTGTTTGTTTGTGTTTCTATGGTTGACCAGTTAAGTTTCATTATTCTACAGAACTTAATAAATTTTTCAGTTTTTTTGAAAGGTCTTTTATTCATGAATATTATGTATGGATAAGTATTACATTAGGGGAGTGAAATATCCCCATGAGAAATAAATAAATTATGTAATGTCGAAACGGTAATGAATTTATACTTCACATCATATATATGTATATATATATATATATATATATATATATATATATATATATATATATATATATATAATCAAAACCAGATAATTTAATTACAATGGTCAAAATAAATGGCTTTATTATCATTATTACATAGAATTACTGTGATCGGTTATTCTAACGACCTGAAATTTAGACTATTCAATTGACCTTATTACATCTATTATTAATAATATTGAAATTATATTGATCTTTGATTTATTTGGTAATAAATTTGTAAGAAAACGATCCAGTTGAAAAGTTGCTGTTTCTCAATTACTATACCATTGTGATGACGGTCCACGGGTGTAGTCGATGAAGCTCTAAGAAGCAGAAGATATTCTATCCAGTCATCTTGTGGAAGAATATTCCAGAACCCCTACGTGTAGCTTCTCTATTAGACAAATGCTAATAACCCGTGGTATGTGAATTGGAGAACTAGAATGATGATTTCGTTTTTACTGAAAACTATAGATACCTGACAGTTCTGTACCACTATTTGGAACAATATTCCTTTCATTTGTCTTCTGTCTTCTTACTTGAGATTTTAAGACTTCTACCGTTCGAGTGTTCTAGATGTACATGGTAGAATAAGAAATTAAGTTCTAGATATGACAACCATAAATTATCGTATTGAATGGAATGAACATTGTAGAATTTTGAATTGAAACCATTTCTTCATTATAAGATATATTATACATCAAAATAGAATATGTGGTATTTACCAAGTCATCGGTTAGTGACCTAATGAATGTTTGTCATAAAATAAATTAAACTTGTCAGTTTAACCGATAAAAATAATATATATGAAATAAAAAGTAAGCAGTCTATGGTTATGATTTATTTTTTAAAGGCGAATATCATTTTAACACTTGAATTCATGAGTCAATCCAAGCTAGACCACTATTGAGAACTTAGAAGCACAAGAAGCGCATGGATCGATTGAAGTGATCTAGAGAATAGGCATTCGCGCGTGAGACCGAAGGGCTCGAGTCTGGTGTGCGGTGTTATGGTTGAGCACTGCTAAGGAGTCCCATACTAGGACGAAATAGCCTTCCACTGCTTCTGGGTTTTTAATGGTAGTCTAGCTTAGATTGACTAGTGAATTCAACTTTGAAAATACTACGATCTCCACAAATACCAATACTGAATATCATCTAATAATCTTTACTTCAACCAGTTTTTCGGATAGCTTGATTACGAATCGATCGTGTGTCAAAATGGATATGATTTCATTGTTACAAAGTTATTTGTTTACGAAGGAATTGTTTCTGAAACTTCGTCAAAGCTAGACAAATGATTGATTATATGTTATTTTGGAATTATACAACAAACACGAAATAACTGTGAATTGATTTTAATGAATATGTGGTCTGTTCATCTAGCCTAACTCACTTCCTGTCATTTACGCAACCTTAGTAAAATTATACTTCATCTATTTACAATAGAGCTTCTCATTTATCTAAAGTCTTCATCGTCTGTTTTGTTTTCTTGGGTTCAAGTATTCAAATAGTGTAACGCTGATAGAACTGAACCACAAAATATGACATTATCTACTACTTATCATGAAGTCAATTATTATTAAGTTAAACCGACAATCCAGAGAAATATAAACAAACTTGCTGACTTAACTTATTTAATCAAAATGGAAGGAAAGAGGCTTTGATGTATTTTGTCATACAAATATAGATTAAACTGTTAATGAAAAGCTATGAACAGAAAAATGATGACTGGAATATTTAGAATTAGTAGAATCCTTCTTAAGTCTCTCATATTGTTCCTACATATACAATTGAATCAGAAATTATAGATTATGCCCCTAGCTTGGTGTCATTAAGAGAATGACATAAATGACTTTTTGTAGCCTTAAACATTTCATAAATAATCACGTCAAAACCAATTTGCTGAGATTTTTAAATTATTTTATGAGCATAAACCGATATATGTTAGACAATCATTGAAAACCTGGAAGCACTGGGTGGCATTTTGGTGTTTGTCTTACTTAGATCGGTTTTGTATCAGTTAAATTATATACGTGGATGTGAACATAAATAATTCAACTGAACTTCTGAGACATTACAAAAGTGACTTTAATACCATTCATCATCGCAGTTTCAGATAAACGCAAGAGGAAAACAATCATAATCTTCTACATTCAAGTATACAATCAAAAAGAGTTATATAATTGACCTACTCCGAGATGTGTGTGTAGAATAAAATGAATTGAAAAGCAAAAACTTTTTTCACGTAGAACTAGCTACGTAATCTCAGTTCTATTTTAATCTCAGTGGAAAATATATATTATTCTATCTATATTATACACTTGTTCTTGCATTTTTCCATTATTTTTGCTTAATTGAACCATCCTAATATATGACTGACTTGTAAAAAATCTGTACTAATGCACTAATAGACCACAAGTTTTTCGAGTCTATGTGGTGTGAACTACTTATATCGACGGATATAAGTAGTATTTAACAGCATTCAAAATTGGATCGAATAGAAGAGAATAGGAACAGAAAGCGATTGGTATAGAAATGAGGGAACGACAGTATCTAAGACAATTGATGAACATTTTTCAAGTGAAGTACTATACGTATGGTATTCATATTTTACCAAATAACTCTGTCACTTTGTGTTTAATTACATGTGGTCATCTCCAATTGTGTTTTAATCTATTACATCTACATTACTTTCTTACTATAGTTTCCGGATGAATCATTAAAGTAGTTGAATGACATAGTGATTAATAGGATTTCATTTAAACGGAAATCAAAAGTTTGTCATCATCATGATTTCAATCATAGGGTTTGCCTTTTATATTCTCTAAGGAAACATTGATTATATAATAAGTTCACTGTTAATACCTTATAAATTATTCTGTATATGGAACATAATCAATTCGTTTATTTCAACAACAACAACAACAACAACAACAAAAAGAGAGGAATCATGCTATTAAATTATAAATTTATTTCATTTATAGGAACCTTATATTGTATGCCCAGAAGATCGTGAATTTCTTGGATTATAGAATATTGATCTAATTCATGATCCATTCTATTTATGGTAACATCGAAAAAATTCAAACAAAAAATAAAGAACACAATGACAATGAAACATTCGATTTAATTTAATTTTTAAAAAAAAATTAAAAATTCGGATACATTTCTTCTTCTTCATTATTATTATTATTATTATTATCGTTATTGTCGTTTTCTTTTCTTATTTCCTTTATTCAATATTTTAAACAATACTTGATCATTTGAATTCATCATGGAAATCACAGTGATGGTGTTTAAAGGATTCATGTATTGAGAGAATAATAATAGTAGGTACGTGATGAAATGACGAATGGTTCTTTTTTTTGTTGTTGTTGTTGCTAGATTTTTTCTAAAATATTCCTTTCATAAGTATTTCTCTTTTTTACTTTTCTTTTTTTTGTTGTTGCTGTAATCCGAATTTTAATCTGACTCTATTTAAAGAAAATTTTGATGAAATCAGTAAATAAAATGTTTGAAATTATTTTCTTTTATTTATGTAAAGAAAGTACTAGAGATTATTAAATCAATTGAGATGATAAACTGAGGATTACATTTCAGAGGGATCAATGTGAAGTATTCTATTTATTTCACTTAAAGTTGTTTACTTGTATCTTCCCATTGTTATTCAAGACTGTAGTTGATCAGTCACTTGTTGGCATTTGTGCATACCTCGCTATAGCCTTAAGTCACATGCTTTATAAGCAAAGATGAATGGTGGCTAGCAGTGAAATTCAGTTCGACTCGCGTTTCGTCCTACTTAGGACTCGTCAGCTGGATGTACCTGCATCGCAGAGTTGATGTTCACTCTGAGACTTAAATCCAGTACCGTTCACTTCAAATGCCATCGCGTTATCCACTTAGCTACTGAGTTCCAGAGTGAAAATCAACTTAGAGATGCAGGTACATTCATCTGATGATTCCCAAATAGGACTAAACGCGCTTCAAACTGGATTCTATTGCTAGCCACCATTCATCTTGGCTTATTCTATTTAATGTTCAATAAGAAAAATTATTCACTAAATTTCCATATATATATAAGTCTGAACAGACAAATATATACCTTAATAGACTGATAGATAGATAGATAGATAGATAGATGGATGGATCACTACCTGCATTTGTTCTAGGATTGAAATATCCTGGACCTGTGTATTTTTCGTATGTATGAAATGCACACATGCAAAGAAAAATCAGCAAGTCATCCTTTGTGGTTTATAAATGGTTCCCCACTGGAGACATATTGCATCCAATTACGTGTGCCGCACATTATATAAAAAACATTATCCATATAGGCCAATCCGCTTTCCAGTATACTACATCGACCTTCATGACTGGAAGAAATACCACAGGCTAACATTTTTTTAAATTAGATTTTGAATGAAGATTAATCGTAGATTAACATTGATGTAACAGTTTAAACAATCTTAAACTCTAGTTCTTAAGCAGTTGAAAATAATCGAATAAACTTCTCTCGCAGGTGAACATCACAAAGTAATCAACTCTGAAATTAAAAACATGATGCTGACTAAAGTCGGCAGATCAGTGTTTAATTGTTGAATCTTTATCGAATAAGGTGGTTGGAACATGTATTATATATGCCCTAACAACTGTCTACCTTGATATACGATTCTTGTAGGTTAACCAATTCAAAAATTGATGTATCAAGAATATATCACAGTGAAATGATTGAATGTGATGACGAACCTATACGATTTATTCAAGAGATGAATAAAGAGTAACTTGTAGTATTTTTGCTAGCTTCTCTCACTGGAAAATTCATACAGGTTTGTTCAGCTGGTTTATTTAGGTAATGTATTTGCTGTACCGTTCATAATTGTCCGTCATTTATTTAATAATAAACTAGGGTCGTGAAAATTTAGTTTGGCAACGTTTATGCTAGATCTCACTTTAAAAAAATTGTTTATTTCTGACATTATACACATTTCCTTTCTGTTTCCATTTATCGAGAAATTCGGAAAAATCATCAGGAGTCAATTCACTTCAGCTGCCTTTTTATTCTAACGAAAAGGATTTGAGCGGTTGAGATGAATTGAACGGATAGATTTAATTACATTTTTTGTTGGTCAAACCAAGAAGCGCTATTAGTCACTGAATTCATTGACTATTAAAATATGCCATGTAGTAAGAAGTAAACTGATTGGTTAAATTTTTGATTGGGATCATGAACTGATTGATGTTAGACTACCATAAAAAACCTGGAAGCACTGGACGGCCGTTTCGTTCTATTGTGAGACTCCTCAGCATCCCAAAAGCAGGATCGTGGATGTACACTGCTGAGAAGTTTCACGATAGAACGAAACGACTTCCAGGTTTTCAAGAGTGGTCTAATATCAATCGGTTGATGATCTCAATCAAAAACTTAATAATTTCCACAACTCTATACTGATAATTGGTTAAAGTCAAAATGATTATCATAACCAGTTATTAAAATCGTTTAGTGTATGGTAAAACAAAATAAATGTACTCACTCTTTGTTTTCTCTTAAATTTTCAACATCTCAATCTTCTTATACCATATTATCTATACTTAATCGTCCTTTATTATCACCGGTACAAATGATGTTTCTACTTTAATATTCATCATGTTATACTGATGGAATATTGTAAATATAACCGATTCACATAAGTAATTCGTTTTGATGTTGCTTATAACTATCCAACTAACTAATCGATTGATTTAAAAGCCTTAAATCTGGATTGTCATTCATTATCAAGGTGAAACTGTAGTCATTTCCTTTTTTTTGTTTTAAATTGTTCTATAAATTCAATTAAACTAATGTTAACTTGTGGAATTATTGAATAATTGAGTAATTATTTCCATTTGATTTGCATAATTTACCTTAGTAACATCTACAAATCACTGGTAGTATAATCGTTTAGAATAATTAAACTAAAATCCAATCATTCACATATCTAACCTTAATGAATTTATGTCTCAGACAAATAATTCCAAGTACATTAGTGACATTAGTACATTATTATTGATTGAGTAACATTTAGCATGTGAACATTTGTAATACGAACCTAGTACTTAAAAAGTGGTATGTAATCAATAAAATGTAATAGTATATATTCAATTAGTCTGGATTGTGTATGGTCACTATTGTAATGTCATAATTTATTATTTATTTTATTTTAACACATAGATATCGGTACAAGAAGGCACCAAATACATATGCGCCACACATATCTCATTTGATATGTGTGAGGACTGTGATACTGCCCGGGTGCCCAAACCGAAGCAGTTGGTTTTCTTAGGGGGCCACACCCCGAGCCTTCGACCTGAACGTCTGACCCACAAGGCAGTGGAGCATCGTGAGGAGATGCAGTCCCATGGTAGCCGGTGACCAACGATTGGTTCATACGCCATTCGATCCTTCAGGATACTGGAGCCCATGTGCACCATTGGTTTGGGATCCGGTTATAGCGCCGGACATTCGCTTTTCGTCCTCTCATTTTTGTAAACAACACCCCCGCCACGAGAAGGCAGTGAGTAGGACTTCCCTGGCAGGGGCTGTATACGCGTGGCCATGTGAGAGCATTTCGAGAGGGAGAGCGGACTCTTCCCACTCTTGGCCGTACCAGGGCATTTGGGGGCGTAATGTCATAAACTAAAATTACGAGGCAATCTAAGCTAAACTACCATTGAAAACCTGAAGGCACTGGACCGCCGTTTTGTTCTAGTACAGGGCTCGTCAGCAGTGCACATCCACGATCCTGAACGAAGAACTGAAACTCAAAACCAACAGTCTCACGCGTAAATGCTTCATCTTTAGACTATCAAGCCGGGATACAAAGGTGTTAATGTCTAACTTCAGTCAACCATGATTGTAGAAAACATTTTCCAACACAACAGTAAATCATGGCTTGATTAACTGAGATCTAAAACATTTAACTAAGGCAATAAAATATTTTTATATCTTCGGGTCAAACTAATTCTCTGGCATGTTTTATTCGAATTACTACACTAACATTTTTAAGACAAAAATGAGTTGTATCAATTAAAGGGTTAAGACAATAATTATTTCGAATGTATTTAGTAAGTCAGTGGAGTATTTTTTTGTCATAATATAAATTCAGACAATAGATTTGAGTAGAATTCATGAAGTGAGATTTTAATTGAGGGACTCTAAAATGACTTTGAGAATGTTCACCTACGAACTACGACTAAATGAGGCTTATAAAGCAGTGTGAGTAATGAAGATTATGATTTACAGTCGATAGTTAAGGTTAGAAATTAGATTAAAGGTTTTCATCACGAACGAACATCAACTATAATGCTAGAACTTTATTTAACATAATGGATGAGTGAATTTCGCGCCAAAAATCCAAGACTTGTTATCTTATATCTGATTGGTTCATCCATAAATTATAATTTCGTCATAGATATAATTAATTCTGTAGTGTTTATTTGTTTACCCATTACGTGGTATACTCTAGTAATCCAGTGAGGGTGATCATGAATGCGCATTTTTGTGGAGTGGCATACTAGAACGACACTATCACGTCCAACCTCGGCATGTTATACTCTGTTAATGAATCAAATCTAAAAAAGAAAACTAACAATTATCGTTAAAACTGTAACCTAAAACAACATATATCAGCAAACAATATTATTCTCTATTAGATCTTCATCAGGCTTTACTCTAATATACAGTAATATTTATATGCATATACGAAATTATTGAACCAGTCAACGCAATGGAATAGATTACATAAATAAACATAATAAGTGAAAAGTATAGATTGGTGATGTGATGACTGGTGTACTGGTTGTGATAAGAATAATAAAGGCTTGAATCAGTGTGACATAATGGGAAATAGCTCAATGATCTGAAAAATATAGATGCTGAGATAACATTCATATAAATTACAAGATTACGTATTAAGAAGTGTTCAGATAATTGGACTGTGAAACGTATATTTGAGAAAAAAAGAAAAAGGTAGGAGGGGGTGAAGAAGAATAGACGAAAAAAGAGTATGGAAAATGATAATAATAGATTAAATCAAGGAAGAGATAAAGGTGTTACAAATTTCTTATGAACACAAAGACTTGGATTGCTGGTTCAAATACCTATAGCTTCTGCTGTGTGTAAGAGACGAGATCGAATCCCATAAGAAAACTGGAATAACACATAAACCCATTAACATTAACTTTTTACACAAATATAAAGTTGCGTTATTTATTAATAAAATTCACATCAGAAACAGAAAACCACAAAAACAAACAACAGTTCTAGAATGTGAAAAAAGGTTGAATTTAGACATTTACACCGTTGAATGCCTCATCAGTGACCTAGAGGTTAGGCGCTTGTGCGCGAAACCAGAAGGTCCTCAGTCCGAATCCGGATAGTGGATGTGCTCTTCTATGGAGTCACATTCTAGGACGAAACGGACGTTAAGTGCTTCCATGGTGGTCTAACTTACATCGACTCATGGATTCAACTATTAAAAAAAGGGTACTGAAATGAAATAATTCATAAATGTTTTCATTCATCGGGTAAAAATTGAACATTTTAAATAGAGTTTTCAGACTGATTTGTTTTTCTTTGTTTTCATTATGAAGCAATAATGAGTGATGTTTAAATTCACTTGGTGTTGTTTTACTTATATCTTCCCATTGGTATTTAGGACTGAAATTGGTCAGTCTCTTATTTGCGTATGTGCATCCTGTGCGGATTGCCTCGATATAGCCTTAAGTCACAAGCTTTTTAAGCAAAGTTGGGATGTGCCTGCATCGCAGAGTTGATGTTCACTCTGAGTCCCAAATAAGGCAAAACGCGTGCTAAACTGGATTCCACTGTTAGCTACTATCCAGCTTTTTTTAAAATGAATGATGTTGTTTTGTTTTGTTTTTTGAAGAAAAAAACTGAGGGATTATTAATTTTATCATGCTAGATTCTTTACATCATAAAAATGAATATGATTTCGTTTGTGTTCCTGAACATAATGTAAACCAGTTTTGTTTTT